TTTAATTTTTAACAGACCAATATAGTCCTGCATTTGTGGTTTATTGGTCAATATTCAAATGTGCATATTAATTGCCCTTAGTAATTACCAAATTGTATTTGTTTTTTGTCCACTTTGGCTATTTGTCCACTTTGACAAATATTCCACAAAATAAAAATATGGAGTTTAGTAAATTGTGTTTTTAGCTATGTATCCAGTCTCAATGTATAGTTATATTTTTTGCCTACGTTGATTTGTGCAGATTTTTGTCTTAGGCCAACTTTATTACCAAACTCTATTTCAAACTCTTCAACTTAATATGCAACACACAACTTCTTTGATTTTTGAAGAAGGTCATTTTTTCTCTTTATCAGCTCATTCATAAACCCAATTAAGCAGGCTGCTGCTTGTAATGAATTCTCCACTGGATATTCAAAGGTTGGGAGGTCCTCTGTAGGGCTCCAGAGTGTTAGTAATTTGGAGGCACAGACATAATTTTTCTTATCTATTAGTTTTTATTGGAATACCGACTGTACAAGCAGAAGGTCATAAAATGTAAGGATATTTTAGAAAATCAGGCAGAAATTTATTTCATTTGGATTCAGTAAACAGGTCATACCACTAATCTACAAGGAACACTTATTTTAATATTATAACTATATGTAAATAATTTCAGCTAGTGCAGAGCCTGAAACATAGGTTTTAGAAGCCAGAGATAATATTCGTCTTTAAAATGGATCTATAACATTTTGAATTTTTACTATGTTTATCTGAATGTTCCCTTCATGCCATCCAATAAGTAGGTTCACCACCAAGTGTCACTAGCGTGCTCGTGATGACATGTACATTTGATTCCAAGAAACTTAAGTAATGATGATGTGCAGGGAATACTTTATACTACTCTACTTCTACTTGCATGTTTTGTCTGTCTGCTGTTAGTCACTGTAAGCTCCTGAACCCTCCAAGATAAACAGCTAATATGAACTGCCTAAGGCCTCACTCTCACAGGCGCCTCCATTATCCTAAGGCAAATATAATATTAATGGTGATGCACAACTGACATTCTGAAAAATTAAGATTGCACGGGACCTTCCAAGGAACCATTGTGTACATCAGCATTAGCTTCCTGCCTATGCTTTGTGTTAAAGCTAGACATTAAAAAGTGAAGTAACATAAGGCCAGGCGGAATGTCAGGAGCTGCAGCTACACTACTAACTTATAAGACATTGGCTAGGTAGGATTGATATGACTGGGACCTAAATAAACTATCTAGCTGCCTAGGACTGATATGACTAGTGGTAGGCAATGGGCATCATCTGCTTGCCTGGGACTGATCTGACTGGAGGGTGGCAGAGGGCTCTGCCTGCATGGGATTTGACTGGGAGAATGGGGGCCCTAGCAGATGGGGACAAGATTATACTCTGTGGACATGGGTGCTTAGCAAATAATGAGAATATGGATTTTGAGAAGAGGTAAAGTGATTGGGGCTGAGAGCAGTGTAATAATTTTGGAGTTTGAGGTGCTTATAATTGAGATTGGGACTATCAAGCAGAAAGTAATGAAGGCAATATGGTCTGGTGAAATATGATTGGGTCTCTGGGGTAGTGGGTAATAAGGAGATTGTGAGGATAGGACGTGAAGTGGCTATGGGGCCTCATATTTGAGCTTTGTCTTAAAAGGACACTATAGGCATCCAGACCACTTCAACATTAGAGAACGTTCAATAATTACATTGCATGGTTAACTCCACCTCTAATGGCTGTCTTCCTGACAGCCCTTAGAAGCGCCTCCTGGATTTTCATGGATTTTAGCACTGCATGAGGATGTCCAGTGTCTTCAAAGCCCCTATAGGAAAGCATTGAAAGCACTTCCGAAATTCGGCACTTCCGAACTTCCGAAATGCGGCAATTCGGTTCGGTTCGGCAGTTCGGACATTCAGAAGCAACCAAATGACCGAATTGCCCGAAATTAGTCCGCATTCACATTTGGACCGAAACAAATTTCGCATGTCTACACACCATGCTTCCCTTACACACTAAGCCTTACACACAATGCATCCATTATACACACAATGCATCCTTAACACACACACCCACAATGCAGCCCTTGCACGCACAATGCATCCCTTACATACAAAAACACACAATGCATCCCTTACGCACACACACAAACACACACTGCTTCTTTAAACACACAGAAACACACCTTGCATCACTTACACACACACGCAGAAACACACAATGCATTCCTTATACACAAACACACACTGCTTTTTATCCCTTACAGACAAACACACTGCATCCCCTATACACACACTCACTACATACTGTACACAAACTGGTATTCCTATACGCTACATTCCATAAGAACACACACACATTACATCCTCTACAATAACACATAACATATCCCCTACACACATACACTCCACCCCCTGTAAGCAAACTCAGGTGTGGGCCATGTAGGTGGACTTATGGGCGGGCCTTGTATGCATACTCATGATCAGGCCCTGGGGACCAGACCTTGAGCTGTGTAAGGGGCCTCAAAAAATGGAGCTGCTTCCTGTTCATTGATTTTTGTAAACAGAGTTACAAACAGCCTCCAGAGAGCCTGTTCTATACCTGACCAACTGAGCCTGAGTGCAGCCTGAAACCATCATCAACCTCTTGTCCTCATCTGATTGTAAGTAGTCTCACTAATCTCTAATTGACATTAAAGAGACACTATAGTCACCAGAACCAGTACAGCTTGATGTAGTGGTTCTGGTTTCAATAGCCTCTTCCTGCAGGCTTTTTAATGTAAACACACTGCCTTTTCAGAAAAAAGACACTGTGTGCAGCACTGGCGTTAACTCATATGGCAGATCATATGGGTGGGGCATTGTGATGGCAATTTTTTGTTTGTCTAGGGCAGCAAAAATCCTTGCACGGGCCCTGATTGTAGTTATGAATGACAAGTTACATTGGTAAAAAGAAAAACATTATTAAGGGGGTTGGGGTGATGCCGTGAGTTACCGCACCAGGTGACACTAACCCAAGTGACGCCACTGCTGCATAGAACATTCTTATTTTGTATAGGTTCAACTATGGCACTCCAGGTGAACACTGGTCCCTTTTCAAAGAAGGTACCTACCTCAGTCTCTCACGACTATTCCTCTACCACTCAGAAATAGAACCTTGATTCTCAAATCATACACTGTTGTTCTCTCATACTTTTTGTAATAAATATGTCTTCCTCCACACCTTTATTCTGTAGCATTCCTAGGGTATGCATATGGCATTAGTATTCAGAATCATTCTGCACGTGAATAAAATACGATTCTATGAAATTCACAAATAAATAATTATGTAAACATATGCATACCTTAGGAAAACATATGATGCTAGAAATTGCATGTATAGGTTTTCAGCAGCCTGAGGAAAAAATAATTACCTTACATTCTTCATGTCTTTCTATATTGTTTTATACAGAATAAATTTGTGGTTTGCCTTTCCTTAAGAAATTCATTTCCCATACTTGAAAAGCATTTTTAACTTAAATTAATTAAATGAATTCCTAGAAATGTAAAAGTATCCATTCTATCCTATACTGTCAAGAACATTAGTCTCTGATACACCACAGCTATTGTCTCTGAATATATCACAATCTCATTCATCCAGTGAGTTATGACTTACAATGTTGTGGACTACAGCTTCTTTGATGCTTTGTCTGCATTATGACTGTAAAAAGCACTATGGGAAATGCCTATTCCAAGGATTTTGCCTGTGCCACACATGTACTCTAGAATTCCTTACCTCCTTGTGCAAAACCAGCCACCACACCTATAACTACCTTACCAAAGCCCATCTATTTAGAGAAACTTACTTCATACATCCTAGAATGCATCACCAGTTGCTAATCTTCTGTATCCAGTTGCCAATCTTCTGTATCTAATTGGACTTCCTCTCTCTTTCTAAAACTCAATCTTTCTAAAACTGAGCTTCTTATATTCCCCTCTTATAAAACTAATATTTCCCTGTCGATCTCTTTGTGTTTGTGTCTGAGTGTTTGATTATAGTCTTGCCTTTATAGCTAATTTCCAGTCTGTAGCCAAATGTGGCCAATTCCACCTTAAAAACATTGCCGCACTTGCCCCTTTCTCACTCAAGATGGTACTAAGGAGCTTGTACACACTCTGATAATTCCCCACATTTATTAATGTAATTATCTCCTAATTGGTTTCTCCAGAAACCATACTGCCCCTCTATAGTCCATAATGAATACTGTTGTCAGACTAATTTTCTCTTACTTGTCTCCACTCTGTCAATTGTTACATTGGCTTCTTGTGCCAAGATTCAATCAAAATAGAGTGATGACACTGAATGTCAGTGCTGCATACTGTGCAGCTTTGCCCAAGGAAGCACCTCTAGCAGCCATTTGAGGAGTGGCCACTGGAGGTGTCCCAAGTTTGTAATGTAAACACTGCATTTTCCCTATCACTTAATTGCCATCCCACTCACTGTTCTTCCCTTAAAATCTGTAACATATTCATCCTCACCTTGTGGTATCTGCGCTCAGTGACCATGCGTCAGTGTACCTGACTCCTGCAACATGTTGGTGGATGCCAGCTGCTGCAGATCCACGCCAAATTATAGCCCCACGTCCGCCCACGGTGGTGACTATGTTGGCGTGCGTGTGACGTCACATGGGAGACGCTCGGGCATGTTCTGGGGTCAAAAGCCGATTTCAGCCAATCAGATGTGTAAAAGGCTTATTTAAATGCATTTTTACTTCTCCTCTTTGCCCTGGTTTCCTTTTGTAACCGCTGGTGGTTCCCTTATTTACCACTATAATGTCTTAAAGCATAGAATTTAGTAGGGCTAACCGTACAGATATCTTAGCCATAATTTTATATAGTTAGTAAGAGATCCTCTATTTAACATATATAAATAATTGAGAATACAATATAAAATAAGGATTGTCTTGGAAGCAATAGTTTTGTCTTTTGGATATTTATTATATAAAAATATAAAATCCATTATAGCAGAGTTTATAAGATTAAATTACATGCTTGCAAATATCATTAATAGGTTAACATACCCTTCTGAACATGTCATCATGTCAGCCTCTCTGTCATTTTAAGATGGAGCAGCGTCTGTCTCCAAGTCTCTCCTCTGTGTCTTAACATTTAAAAGTACACCTATTTATACCTTAGGTGTCTCCATTTTAAGGTTACCGTAGTTCATATTTATTATATGAAAAAGTAACACTTCTTTTACTTTATTTTAGGACCTCCCTTAATTTGGCAAACATACAAGGCCATAACTAAAGGGTGTATACGTCATGGAAATTTTCCTGACTTAGTTCAAGATGGCATCTTAAAGTCTGAATAGGTTATCTGTTGTTTATACTAAGTCATAAGTGTACAGTCGTGGGAGATTCCCGGATTTGGGGAAGTTCCATTAACTTGGGGTTACCACAGTATATTGTGTACTGCAAGTGTTGTAGTATAGCCTTGAAGCTTGTTTATGCATTATTGTTATTGTAATTTGTCTGGGACAAAATGGCGCAAACATATTATGCACTGAGGTTATTGCTTAAAGAAACATCTATGAAAAACAATATGTTCCATTTCTAACACCTTGTCAGTTTGCAATATCTCTTAAAGACAAAGTACACAGTTTAAAAAATACAACATTTCATTCTAAAACTTGTAATATTTGCATTTGCCCATAACACCCTCTCCATTAAACTGTGGGCATTGTAGCGCATTTCTTCCTTAAATTAGTGAACCAAAGTTCTCCAACAGTCTTTAGGTTTTTTTTGTGCTCCCGGCATCTTTGATCATTGTTGTAACATCCGTAGTGTGATCTTTGTATGTAAAGGTGGTTGATTAAAATGAGCAAAGCTTTTGTCTGGGAATGAATTGAAAAGAACACCAGGTTCCAGAGTAAGATATTTTTTGATGGATCCGGATGCAGATTGTAATCCAAAATTAAAAGTAGTAATTGTATTTGTAATCCAAAGTCTGTAAAGGCCTGTAGAAGTTTACATTCCTTAGATACATTGCTGGAGGTTGTGTTTGTAGAATACCTGGGTATTTGTTGTAGAGTATAGGTTGTAGAGTCCAGATTTCCAAATATTTGGCTAGAATTGGTTGCAGATATTGAATCAGCATCATCTGTTATCACCTTGGTTATGGTGTTGGTATTTTTCTTTGTCTTTGCTTTTTTTTATTTTGTTTTTTCCATGAAACATTTTTACACAGATTATGATGTGTATAGATTGGATACTCTCTGATATTCTTTTACAGAATAAATTAATTGACAGCAATTCCATCATTCATGCAACAGACAGACATCTCACTGACATCAGGTGCTGTTGTGCTAAAAATGTTAACAGGTAAAATCTGTGGAAAAATCTTTACATTTGTTATACTTTGTATAATAATGATAGATGAAATAGTAACATAGTTAATCTGTCTAGTGTTTTGTTTTAAAGATAAACACTCTCTGTCATTTTAAGATGGAGCAGCGTCTGTCTCCAAGTCTCTCCTCTGTGTCTTAACATTTAAAAGTACACCTATTTATACCTTAGGTGTCTCCATTTTAAGGTTACCATAGTTCATATTTATTATATGAAAAAGTAACACTTCTTTTACTTTATTTTAGGACCTCCCTTAATTTGGCAAACATACAAGGCCATAACTAAAGGGTGTATACGTCATGGCTATTTTCCTGACTTAGTTCAAGATGGCATCTTAAAGTCTGAATAGGTTATCTGTTGTTTATACTAAGTCATAAGTGTACAGTCGTGGGAGATTCCCGGATTTGGGGAAGTTCCATTAACTTGGGGTTACCACAGTATATTGTGTACTGCAAGTGTCGTAGTATAGCCTTGAAGCTTGTTTATGCATTATTGTTATTGTAATTTGTCTGGGACAAAATGGCGCAAACATATTATTCACTGAGGTTATTGCTTAAAGAAACATCTATGAAAAACAATATGTTCCATTTCTAACACCTTGTCAGTTTGCAATATCTCTTAAAGACAAAGTACACAGTTTAAAAAATACAACATTTCATTCTAAAACTTGTAATATTTGCATTTGCCCATAACACTTTAATGGTTGTCCAAGAGTGTGTTCCTGAGCATTTATTTCTGGTTTTTGACTTTGGCTTCATTTTGATTTCCCTGTATTCTAGTATCCTTGACTTTTGGCTTTCCCTCATTGTTGTGTCTCATTCTGTGTCCCCGACCTCAGCAAGTATTCTGACTATTCTCTGGTACATTAAGTCTGGCCATTCTAGAGCCCAGTAAGATGTTACCTTTTAGGCCTAGGTGTGATACAGTTCTACGTGCTGGATCAACTAGTAATCCTGACATTACGATATGGCCATAGATCCTGTAGAATTGTATCAACACATAGCAACTTGTGAGAGAAAGCTATAGGAGAATGATCACTGTATGGATTAGTTTGCCCAGGCTTTCAGTAGGCTTCTTACCTGAACAGCGCATTTGCAGTCTAAGTTTCTCTGAATATGTCACCTCCGCCTAATGTACCTCCACCTATAGTACATAAAGTACCTAATATCTCCCTATCTCCTCCCCCGCATTTTGATGGTAATATTCAAGTATGCCGGGAATTTCTGAATCAAATTGATTACCACTTTGAGGCCTCACCGGGATCTTCTCCCTCGGATAGAGCTAAGATTCGTTACCTAATGAACCAACTTAAAGGTAAAGCCTCAGCTTGGGCCAATCCATTATGGGAGAGTAATAGGAGCATTGCACATAATTACCAGGAATTCCTTGCAGAATTCAAATTAACATTTGAACCATTAGGCAGGGAGGATGACGCCTCCACTGCCCTAATGCATATCAAACAAGGGAACCGGTCTATCTCAGATTATGCCATAGAATTTTGTACCTTGGCTTCTGAGGTAGATTGGACTAATAGCGTGTTAATCTCTGCTTTTAAAAAAGGATCATCCAAGGCTATTCTGGTTGAGATTGCTGCCAAAGATATGAGGAGAGCTTCTCCCATACGTCAGGAAAACATCAGCACCTGAGAACCCTAAGGGGACAGGTCTTAGGTGTGATGCATACGTCCTCTGGGAATAACAAAAATAGGTTCCTCCTTGATATTATGGCCAAGTGTAACAAAAATAACTTTTCATGCAAAGCCCTGATGGACTCAGGTGCGGCAGGAAACTTCATTGATATACATTTTGTCATAATAATAATAATAAAACAAAATGGTCTGGAGGCACAGTGTATAGGAAATTCTAGTGTGTGCCACTATGCTTTACCTTAAACATCATCTTTCTCCACTAGATCTACCTTCACAGTCCAATCATTTTCTCTTGCAATCACATCCTCATTATATAACCATGCAAAAGAATATCCCTCTGTCCCCTTGGAAGCAGTATGTATGTATGTATGTGTATGTTATGATTGGTTCCATGTATTGATTTGCATTCTAACAGACTGAATCCAAAGGAACAGTTCTAATCTGAGTCCCCTGTCTCTACATATCCATAACCTTTCTCGCCACCGTGAGTATGCATGAATATCTCTCCATCTCTCCATCAGCAATTCCCACACACATCCCAATTTCCTATGTCCAAAAGTTGTTTATAGTCAAATGTCCTTTTACAGAGATGTACCATTGCCTGGTGCTTTAATAAAATAATTTAAGTAACAGAAACCGCCATCTGTCTACTTCAAGTAAGTTGTAAAGTAGCAATGAAATCCTCCTACCAATTTCAAAAACATGCATTACTTTACCCTATATTAACTAAAGCATTGCCTCATACTTATCTTGTATTCTCTCTAACATGTTATCTTGGGACAACTCAACAAAAAACAGCTCTATTCAGTATACCAATCTTCTGCACCTTATTTAGTGGAACTTTACGCAATCCTGAAGACAAGAATGTTCCAACTTACTACTCTATTCACCAGAACGTCACATAATGAATCAGTGAGATTTAGATTTGATGTTTGAGGAGGTTATTGACTGTTTGCAACTTTTTATGGTGTTTCTGAAGCCACCAACTATATCATGAGGGAACAGTGTTTGCAGCACATAGTGCACCTGGTCATGTAAAACTGCATTTGTATTCCTTGGACTTTATACTGCTGTGCAGATTAATTATCAACCATAATTACTTTTCCTACAAGAAGTCTACCCATAGCATAATGGATTTCCCACAGTTTTTTTTAGCAGTTGGCAGTAGACCTTAATGGGTGGCAGGCATTCTTAAGCTCTCCAAATTTTAATTTGTCTGGATAAAGAAAATGGGAAATATGATTAATTAGAGCACTTTCTAGACTGTGTGTTCCTTATACCAGATGAAGTATACTCTATGTTTTCTTTCTTTGTATACAGTTGCTTTCAGGATTATTGCACTGCAATAGATTCCAGGTTTGTGAAGCTCACAACATAATAAAGTTTTAAATTCTGGTTTACTGAGAAGCTATTTTAATTATGTATCAATATTTGAGGCTGCACTTATATTTTGCAGCTATACAATATCCTTACATCCTTCTACCCTCAGTGTAAATGTGTTTCTTTTTATCAATGCAAATGTTCATATGTCTATATGGCATATTCTGTCACTGTCTAAAGATTTTAATTATTGACACATTGAATAATTTTTATATATATATATATATATATATATATATATATATATATATATATATATATATATAAAATCTTTTGAAATTGAAGTTGCTGTTTAGTGGATAAGTGAGTGTACTGGATCTTGTGTATTGTATTATTTGGCCCCCAGCAGCACCCCCATTTATGCATGTTCAGGTGAGTGCAGCCAACCCCCTCTTGTTTCATATATATATTTGGGAGTCTAGCCAACTCCTTGGTTTTGCACCCCTCCCTGTCACAGGTGCCTCATCCCAGGACCCTATTTAACCTTGTACTGCAGAAAGCCCCAGATGGTTTTTTTCCCCCAAGTAAGTGGGTTAATCTCAAGAGCAGACATTAGGCTGTTAGTGTAGGACCTGCCAAAGATGGGGTACATTGACATTGTGGCAGGCTTATGCAATGTATGATCATATAATCTAACTAAACCCCCATTACTTTTGCCTAGATTAGGTGTTTTTAAAACAACAAATAAAGTCTTTCAACATTGAAGTTGCTGTTTAGTGGATAGGTGAGTGTGCTGGATCTTGTGTATTGTATAATTTGGCCCCCAGCAGCACCCCCATTTATGCATGTTCAGGTGAGTGC